CTGGGAGTGGCCACTGCACTCCAGTCTGGGTGACAGAGACTCCAACTCAAAAAAAAAAAAGAGGAAATGGACTGGTAATATTGACATGGATTCGGCTAAAATACTGGTTGAAAAAGAAAATTTTTCAGAATAATACAGTGTTACACATTTTAAAGTGTATTTCTAATGTATTGATATAAGTATGCAAATAGTGTAAGTTTTGAAGACACCCAACTGACAAATGTTTCTTTTGGGAGTGGACTGGAATTGGGTGCTCTGGTCAAAGAAAGTTATTTGTACTGTTTGAAGTTTTAAACAAGAATGTAGTAATTTAACAAAATATGAAAAGCAAATTGAACATATAGAAACTTAGAGCAGTTAGAGTGAAGTGTTGGCAGTCTAAGTTAGAAACTCCCTTTTGGAGAAATTTGGGGAATTTCTCATTTACTTGCCAGCCCTTCCCATGAATGCAGAGGTCCTGGTAACCTTTTTCATTTATGGTAACAGAATGACAGAATATCTAAAGAACCCCATGCCATTTATCTAGTGTAATCAAATGGTGTCATTCTTAAATGTGAACAGTAGTAGCTCAGGATCATCACATGTGAAGAAAACTAAGTCTAAAGGTCAAGAGACAGAATTAAATCCCAATTGGGAAAAGGCATGTAATAAAATGAGAATTTTATTTTAGCCGAAGATTTGAACAGACGTTGCATTTTTAAAACATCGAGAAGCTATAAAATAAAAGTAAGAATTAGAACTCCTAAGAATTTAAAAAAATGCTGAAAGGAAATTAAAGTCTCCAAGTACATAAATTTTTAAAATGAGAGACAAAAAGGGGCATGGAAATTTAGAATGTCTGACATCTGAGTATGTTCCAAAAGCAATTAACAGAATATATAAGAATGTATCAAATAAATGAGAATCTTTCTAAACTAAAAGAAGTGAATGTTCACTTTGGAATAGTTCACTGAATGTTGAAGAGACTGAATTAGGAAAACCACAACAGGAAAAAAAAAATTCCAGAAATTTGCTTGTGAAATCTCAGAATATTAAGATGAGAACATTCTAAAAGCTTTCAAAAAAGTCTTTCTAGATCACCTATAAAGGAACAAGAATAAGGCTATCTTTAGCCACCCCCATCTGCAATATTGGATAGAACACAGATTAACATCCAAGTTCTGAGATAAAAGTATTTTGAAGCTAGAAGTCTATACCTAGCCAATAATAAAGCATGAGGCCATATGTTAATATTTGAAGACATGCAGTTTACTTCCATATGTCCTTTATGAGGACATTAAAGGATTTGTTCTAGGAAAATGTGAATGGAAAGGAAGAAAACAGCAGGTTGGGGTTCAATAAATAGAGGAGGTAACCCAAGAGAGTGATGTAGGGAGTGGCTAGAATGCTCACTTTGCAACAAGCATAGAAAGCAATCAGACCAAATTACTGGTAGAATAGAATCAAGGGAGTCAGTGAAGACAAACTTCATTAAGAATGGAATGCATTCCATTAAATGAAGTTAATTAATTCATATGAAGTTGAAGGATCTCTGCAACAAAGTGGAGAAAAAATTTTGTCCTTAGGAAGAAGGAAAGAAACACAATTCTCTAGGAAACTCTAGGAAAAACAAAGGAACAGCAATAACACTTTATTATAGAGCAAGTCCTCATAAAATGTTGCATGATTTTGGAAAATAGCTAGAATATGAAAAGGACAATCCATTTGATTGATATTAGGAATAGTCTTCTTTAAGTAGATACCAGGCTCATAATATTGGATCTGTAGAGGAAGAATGAAATCTTCACACATTATTTGGCTCTAGTTCTTTCAGTATTCACATGGTGATAGTAATGCAATGTTATTATTTAAAATACAGAGACAAATGACTGAAATGTATTTATCCTACTTGATAATGTATACTTAATATTTACTTAATAATGTAAAAGGCAAAATACAGCTGATAGGTGGAGAAATGAGAGATTGAAGCAATACTCTGGATGAGATCAGGGCAATAATAATCTCATTGTACAGAGGGGATTTAAGAACTCTACGTAAAGTTGATAGAGCCTGGTGCGGTGGCTCACACTTGTAATTCCAGCAGAGGAAAAGTGACAAGATTGCCTGAGCCCAGGGATCTGAGACCAGCCTGGGCAACTTGGTGAGTCCTTGCTTCTACAATAAGTCAAAAAATAGCTGGGTGCTGTGTACACCTGTAGTTCCAGCTACTTGGAAGACTGAGGCAGAAGGATCACCTGAGCACAGCAGGTTGAGGCTGTGGTAGCCATGAGTGTGCCACTGTACTCCAGCCTAGTGATCCAGCCTGGGTGACAGAGTGAGACCCTGACTCAATAATAATAATAATTAATAGAATAGAAAGTACAGGTTACCTATATTTCAAGTTAAAATACAACAAAGGAGATAAAATATAATTCATTTGAGATTAAATCTTTCCTAGAAGACTAATAAAGAGTATTATAAGGTTGATAAATCCAGAAGCAACAACTGTAGTCAGGATTGACAAAAACCAAGTTAATTTAGGAGATATTTATTGGCTCATGAAAATAAAAGTGTAGAGTATGTATGGTATAGTGTTAGGCTAGATGTAAGTGCTCAGCCTTATCAGAGATTGTAACTCTCAGCTCTGCATTCAGTTGTTTATTCTCTCCAGGTTCTGTCTTTTGGTGGGAAAGAAATGGGATCTGAGGACCTTAGAAATTTTAATCCAAAAAGGAAGGTAATTTCTCTGTCTCTCTTCCTCCATATAAATATTTCTGTCTCTTCTCTCCATATGTGGGAAGAAAATATTATTTGTTCCAACCAGCCACTCTGGA